ATTTTTTTTTTTTTTTTTTTTTTGCCATTCTCGTTTTCTTCTCTACTTTTCCTTGTATCTCTTCCTTTTTATTTTATTTATTAATATTTAGTGTTTACTTATTTTACCCTTCAAAAGTAAGGCACATTAAAATCACGTACCAAGAACAAATGTGCTACGAACCCTAAAAATTAGAAGACCAAATTGGCAGAATAAATAATAATTTGGCACTCATTTGTGCAATTATTAGGTTCTTGACTTTCTTATTGGGGAAGAGTAAACTTTAAAAAAAAACATTATGGGGCATACATAAAATATCACACGTGTTGAATGTGACATGTCACATTACATTTATTTCCCAACTGTATTATACAACATTTATAATTGGCAGGTGATCAGTATATATGATTCACATAATCCCTCTACCTTTTATGCTCTATCTTGTGTCAACCATAAAACTTCAACCATACAAATTAAATACCTCCATTATTAAATCTATCACGAAATAGGGCATGCCTACTTAGGAGGTTCGGTATCGACCCCATTATATTTATTAAAGAGGGTCAGCTATCCAGCTAACTTTTCTAATTATTGGATAATTCATAGATAGAGTTAAAGAGCGAACAGAAAGAAATTTCGAGCAAAATACTATAAGAAAGTAGAGTCGTTACAACTTTATCGTTTCAAAAAAAGTTATACAAAAACATTGAAAGATAACACTTGCTTTTGGCCAACATGTACTCTTAGACATTGTCATAACAAAACTCTGAAACTATAAGAAAGTTTGATGCCAAACTTTAAAGAATTTAAAGACGTATTTCTTGAGTGTTTTGAGCTCATTTACAACACGGAAGAATAAATAAGTACTATGACATGAACTCCAACTTCAAATTATCAGCTTATTTTTGCACTTTGCTTAAATATCCCTTCTATCACAGGCAGCAGTTTACACAGTATTTGCAGCCAATTCAGCAGCGGTTCAGGCATCAACGTTTGCATTAATTGGTGAGAGCAGTTTACAGTGGATGAAGCTTTGCAATAGATTCACAAGGTTCTGCACTCAAATTGCTGGCGCTTTACTGTGTGGTTATGTTGCATCTATATTCATGGCTGTGATATCGGCCATGTCTGCTTACAATCTGTTCAGGTTTTATTCTTCAAAGCAGTTCCTTTTGTTGAAGGGCAAATAAGACGGAATATTCGTAATAAATCTATGTAACTCAAGGCGGTGTCTTCAAAGCAGTTCCTTATAGTTGAGTTACGAGAATTTATGTACGTCGTACCAATAAAAAAGTCTGTCGTATTTATTTACTATACATGAAGTATTAGTCGTTTATGGTCAAAATACTGCGATCATATTTGTTAAAGAAGGATTGAAGTACGTTTTTCGTCAAAAAAGATCTTTAAGTTGACATTAAAAAGGCAAATTTACCTTTGAGTTTGTTGGGGGCTGAAAGACTTCCTTTAAGTCTGAAATTAATACAGAATTTCAGGGAGTTCATTTGCACCAGCAGAATTGATGTAGAAGCAAACAGATACAAGACAGCAGAAATCAACACAGCAGAAAATAAAACCATCAGGAAAGAAAAATGAAGAACATATTTTGGAGCAGGACGAATGTCTTCTTCAGCCTTGATTTATCCACAAGACTTTATATGATTTACAATCTGAAATCATCATAAAGAATTTCTGCGGATTTACAAGAGTTCACTACTCTATCTCGTCTCACTTTCTCTCATTCTTGAGTTACCTCCCATTCATACAACAAATACAGCTATTTCTAGACACAAAGAGGTATCAAAATTAGTTATTAACTACCTAACTAACTCAAGCTCCATATAGTTGAAGATTCCAACCGAAATCAGTTGCAAAAATAGTTTGAAAACGGCTCCGATTCAACTAATTTTTGATCGATCTAGGTTGCTGAATTCTATCTTAAAGAATCACGTTTTACAGAGTTTTAACAAAGTAAAATAAAAATTTTGAAAAAAATAAAAGGCAAACATGGAAAAAAAATGATATCATATGTGAATAACCTTGATCTCTGTCGAGTGCATATGCAGTGAATTCAGGATATGTCATTTTGAATTTTAACAAAAAAAATTGGATAAATTACCCTTTCATTGGCGGAAATGGCCGTTAACTCGTTGCATAAATTTCACATGCCATTTTGCAGAAGGCCAAATTCTTCAATCCACTACGAAAAATTAAAATTAAAAAATAAAATAAAAAGATTAAATACGTTTAGTACCTAACTTTTCACCCTTTTAAAGATTTTTCCCTCGTCTTTTTGTTTTGTAAGAATTTCAACTCCAACTTTTCATTAATTAATGCTATTCGTCTTCACTAAAAAAACTTGTTAAAAAATTATGTTAGAGGACATTAAAATGGTGTAATTTCCCTTAAACTCGCAAAAATAAGAAAATATAGTTTATATATATATATATGAATAAAAAAGAGAAAAGAGAAAAATCTTTCGCTACAATCCCCACCCCAATTTCTACTCAACTTCTTCTTCTCTACCATAATTTGGGTAATATGTTAAAAGGGCTAAGTCCAATATTGAAAGACTATAAAATAAAAAATCAACATATAAAGTAGGATTTCTCGTCAGGCGCCCCTCCAATAGTGGGGCGCCACTTGGCCATTTTGTAATTCATTTTGTACAAGATTTTGTACATCTAGAGAAATCCTACTTGGAGGATGCTACAAGTATAAAGTATTGTGTTACCCCTTTTAATAAAGTATTTTAAAATGGAACTTCGTGCCTTACTTTAATATGTATCAGAGTTCATTAAATTTCAACTAACAATTCGATCTAACTAAAATTCAAAAAAGCACACGGATCCAAGATTGGTCTAAACAACAAAATAATGGATTAACAGAATTTTGAGGTCAAATAATTATATTAATTCACAGACAAGCAAACGAAAGGCCTGGACTAAATCAAAAATAAAAATTCGATAACTAATTTAAAATATATAAAAAAATGTAAACATATAATCTCGATACTCAGATAATAAAAATGCATAAAATGAAAATAAAAAACTGCATCTAAAACTACTAAAAACAAAAGGTCTAATGCTGATTCAATATCTAAAATAAACTAGCAAGAATCATAGGGGTTGGGAGGCTGGAATAATAGAGAGTAAGCATAGGGCTTATTCTCCACATGCAGCAAAGATTCCAATTCCAAATATTCGTTCCCGTCGATGGTTGGAATTTCTGATAACTCGTGATATTGTTCCAATGACATTGGATCGTGAGTCGAATATATTGGCGATACCATGGTAATGGGAGCTGGATTACTGTATATATCTGCATTCTGATATGGAGGAGCATCGTAAACATCTGGGAAAACCACATTATCGGGATTCTGATAATTTGGAAGACAATATGAAGGAGCAGGATGAACTTCTAGTGTATGATCCTTTATTTCCTGCACTGCTGCAACTTCATCGTTGTTGTTATTTGGTTCTTGAACCTCATTTTTGTTGGTCCTTGGTCGTTTTCTAGTGCTGTTGTTCCATTTTGCATCTTTGTTGTAGACCTTACACAAAACCCAATCGTCCAACTACAATAAAACACTCCATTGGATGACGTTGCATGAAAATAAAATTCTGAGAACTCTTTAAAAATTTTCAAGATTAATGCGTAAATAAAAAATAGTTGTACCTTCATGTCATCTGGACCCTCTCGTTCGCGGGGTGGAAGATTATTCACTCGATATTCGTGCATAATCCAGGAAGTCTTCACACCCTTTGGTTTTTCATTGTAGAATACCAAAGCCTTCTGATATCCAATAATTTCACCATTGCGTTTGATTTGTTTGTCAGCCCCGGTAGCTTTCCAGTATCCTTCTCCTGCAGCTCGATCTGGCCGTTGCCCATTTTTATACTTTCTATTCCTTGGGGTGAAGAAGTACCATTCATGCGGTCCAGCGGGCTCGTAATCTTCTGTAACAAAATAGCACGAACAAAAAATATATCAATCCATTCTAAAACCCTACCCAGCTTCACTTAATTAACAAATAATATAAAAATGATTGAGTTTCATCCTACAAAAGTAAACAAATTAATGTAAAGAAATTAACGAAACAGTTCATCTTACTTGCAAGTTGTTCAGGGTTGAACTCGTATAGATTAAGGACGTTAATCTTGTTCCGAGGCAGCTTCTCATTCCTGATCTTTTTGATCAAGTAGTCATCAATAAGTTCGTCATCCCTTGGCACAAATCGAAAACCCGGAGGCAAACTGCCAAAGTATTCTTCATCTGTAGGCCTTGAGAAATAATCAAGATAACTTCCAAAGAATTCATTACCAGTATACGAAGTTGAGGGAATGCTATCATCTATAGGGTATGTAAGAGCAGCAGTTATAGTTTTTCTAGGGTCACTCTCCATCTTAGGACTCCTAGAAAACCCTAATGAAGACTGGTGTTGAATGATGTTTTCTCTGAGTTACAAGTTTAATCGAAGCCAAACGTTTGAGATTCGTTTTAAGGTTTCACAAGTATTTAAAGTAAAATAGAACTCTAAACAGATAAATTTGAATTGAATAAGGATATACATGGATGCTATGTGATAAAGTTTAATTAACTAATACAACCATGCATGATGATAATTAGAATTTTTTTAAAAAAAATTCAAGAATTTCATTGGATATTATTAACTCAGAATTTTTTAATTTCTTTTCCAAAAATAACTTAGGTACCGAATTTTTATGAATCCATAGTTGATTAATGTGTAAAAACAAAAAACTTTGCAAAATATATGGAAAAAAAAAAAAAAGGATGGCAAATTCTGTCCACCGCAAATAAATAGATAGCACAGGACTGGGGGGAAGCTCTATCTTCAAATCTCGCAAGCATACATTGATAATCATACAACTTCGAAATTATTCAATTAAAAATTGCTTAATTAATTATCTCAAAAGTTGAAGAATTTTCTGAAGTACATGCGCCTCCCTCCCCCTAGAGCCTAAATAGATTTCGGTATTAATCTCATATATATATACACACACACACTCGAGTATACTTTTTGGGAGATGACATTTGTCTAGAGCTTTATTAAGAATTAACCTATTTTTCTCACTTTTCGTTGTATATATGCAACCAGGAAAGTTTATATTGTTGTTTTTGGAGTATAGATTCCTCCTTAAAACAATCTAAATATACAAACATTGACAGAATTATCTTAACATAATTTGCACACCGTAACAATATGATCGATAGGATCAGAAAATTAATTCAAACCTACCGACTTCACGATATTTTCTTAGAATGATTTTACTGCTTTCAAAGATACTAAATGTGTTCAGCAATCGTTTCTCAAGATAGAACGAATTTTATCTCCTACGAAAGCAGCACATTAATCTACAAGAATTTCAATGAACTTAATAAAGTGTTTCACTTCGAGAACAATATCAGAACAAGAGAGAACAAGAGAGAGAGATTCAAAGAAGAGAGTTTGCAATGAAAGTTTCCTTCAAGCCTTTTGAAAACAGTTGTCACTGTTCGACAACCCCAAATTCGAACAAACAACATTGTTCAGTATGAAATATTGTAACTGTTACGTCGATTAACCTGAAAATAAGTCAATCAAAATTAATTTCATTAAGTACCCAAGAATTTAATTAATTACAATTTGATCCAAAATTAAATAAATTTTGTCCAAAAAGATAATATAGTACAAGAACGCACCCGCACCCGCACCNTAAATCAAATCCTTCACTAGTTTATAGTTCCAAGTGAGTTACTTAGACATTAAAAATATCATTCTATTCTAAATGATTTTCAATAAATAAATATATCACGTTAATCATCACGTGGAGTAGAACGTGAATATGTTTGGTCCAGTTAAAATTGAAGTACGATTCCCACTCAAATTGGAGCTCAAAGTTGACCTAATTCACTAATTAATAAACCATTTCCAACGTATATTTGCTGGTCAGGAAATAATTTTTAATAATTAAATAAATTTATCACTTATACGTACCACTTAATTGTGTATTACTAAGTTAATGAGTAATTAATATAGTATATTTTTATAATCTTGGATATGAATTATACCAGGTTATTTTCTATTTTATTTACTAATGTAAGAATAGTTGAATGAATCATTTAGGATTAGAATTATATTTCAATCTCCCATAAGAACTTAGGGGGCTTGTTACCAATTTCATTAAGTACCCAAGAATTTAATTAATTATAATTTGGCCCAAAAAAGTTAAATAAATTTTGTCCAAATAAGTGTGTAGCAATTTTAAATAAATCAAACTCTTCATTAATTTATAGTTTCGAGTGGGTTACATTGATATCAAATATTTCATTTAATTCTAAATGATTTTCAATAAATAAATATATCACGTTAATCATTTAGTGGAGTAGAACGTGAATATGTTTGGTCCAGTTAAAATTGAAGTACGATTCCCTCTCAAATTGGAGCTCAAACTTGACCTAATTCACTAATTAATAAACCATTTCCAACGTATATTTGCTGGTCAGGAAATAATTTTTAATAATTAAATAAATTTATCACTTATACGTATCACTTAATTGTGTATTACAAAGTTAATGAGTAATTAATATAGTATATTTTTATAATCTTGGATATGAATTATACAAGGTTATTTTCTATTTTATTTACTAATGTAAGAATACACTTACTAAATTATTAAATTTAAAATTGTTTTGAATAATTATATAAGTTAACAATTTGGTACTTTGGTAATCCAAAATTGTAGTTCTCAAGTGTCTCACGAATACTGATGTACTCGTGCTTAACTGATTTAAAAACAACAAAGACGAGTAAAAGTTGATTTTTTGGAGGACTAATTGAAAATGTGTTATGATCGTGATTTCAGTTAACCGTCACTTAATCAATTTTGCAAAAGCAATTTAATATATTTTTTTATGATAGACTTGGTTCTCCTAATTTAGCTAATTATTTCTCCCGAGCGTCAAACTAGCTCAACTTTAGTGTATTAACGTATTGTATCTTTACATCAATTAATAACACATTCAATTGTGTTCACTTTTGTGAGAATAGTTGAATGAATCTCCTATAAGAACTTAGGGGGCTTGTTACC